TTGACTTCTTCGGTAAATATTTTTCCAGAAATCGACTGATATGAAAAAAATTAGGAATGATTCAAAAAAGGTCTCCATTTTGTCGCAGGACTTATTTGCCAACCTAATATTAACTACTAAAAGAAAGATACAAGTTATGAACAGTAAACAGTGATGTTGCCGAAATTGACGATTACATAAGAAGATAAGGAGTTCTCGAGGTCTTTCATACTGATTCCATTACTTGCGAGACTCATGATTTTCGTTGCCGGAGTTGGTAGGAGCCTCGTTCCCGGAAGCTTACCATTTCTGATATGATCAATTGCACAGAGGGGATATGCTTGAATTAATCAAACTGAGAAAAAATCTTTAGAACAGTAACGCCCTACCTTGTACGTGCGCTCGTTCAAGCAAGTCTGCTTTCAAATTCACCCGTTTCAACTGCCGTCCCATTGATCATCGATTTACTCGAACGTGCGCTAGTGACGCCTCCATTCGTTTCTATCGCGAGTCCCAATGATGTAGTAGAACGTCCTCGCTCGAGAGACAGGAGGCATAGCAATCAGTCAGTAGCCACCCCGGTCATAACCATTTCGCATAACTTGTCCGGTGAACCTCGTCTGGATTCATTGGTGTAAGCAACGGCATCACTGCTTTTCGTTGGCTGACCGAGCTCAGAACTAAGGATTCTATTTGCGAGAAGATGGAAGGCACAAATTGATCCGAAACATCAGGTACAGAGAGACTCATCCCCTCAAGTCACCTCCGTCTTCGGGGAAATACCGGTGAGCTTGGCTCGCGATTTATTTCCCTAATCGTGAGTTTTAGATGCGCACGTAGGCGACCGGTTAAGGATCCTTCAGTGAGAGAAAACTTTCGGTGAAGGAAATCAGTGGGCGTTCAGTGATCAACAGCGAAAATTCGGTATAGACGCTGCACTTGACCCGTTGGGATTGTTTATCACCTTTATCAGTTGAATGAAAGACCAGAAACTGAACTTTAGTGTGCATAACTTCCGAATTACGCTATCACCACCACCGTAGAAGAGTGCTCAACTGGCACGTGAGGATAACGCCATGCCAGGCGATGGGGCGTCATTACTGGTAAACGCGGTCGCTACTGCGCTCCAATGGCTGCTTTCATAGTCCGCCGGCCGGCCGGCCGGCGTGCCGGCGGAGGCAGTGCTAGGGTTGAGGAG